GCCTTATATGGTGTTTTTGGGGTGGTAATTATGCTAATCTCCGCGTGCACGAGCAGCTGGATACGAACAGGTGGAAATTACGCAGCTCATTTACACACTTTTCCTGAAGATAGAAGAGTTTGTTGAATCTGGCGTGACATGTTCGTACGAACCCTTTGTACGAACAAAAGTAAGAGAAACAGGATAAGAATACGAACATGTTCTTGCATGAGGCYCATGTTCTTGTAATGCATTTTCRGATGATTTGTCTCTTCAGTGATGTCAACAATAGAACTGCTGATAAGGACTTCTTATCAGTAACAAACAAATGTTCTTTTGTTTTTTTTTCTTTTTCCAGAGTTTAATTTAAAATGAGTGTACGTGAAAATAAAACAATTCAAAGTTTGGATTTCCAGCTTTAAGTGCATCACTTTTTTTTTTACTTCTGCACTCGTAGAAGTAAGACAATTTTTCCCTCCCTCCTGCCTTCCCTCATCTTCCCTACTTTGCTACTTGGGAGTCTCCTTTACGTTTTCATCTGAAACCAGAAATTAACTGTGATTACTGATTCGGCTCCCCCCCCTACGTGGCCATGAAGGGCTGTGGATCTTAAATTCTCCCAAATGTTTACGTCGACTGAGGCTCTGCCCCCCCCCCCCCCCCCCCCCCCCACTCCCGTCTGTGATCTGGTTCGTGAAAACAAGCTGAAGGCCGCACAGAATGAACAATCACCATCAGTATTCTGAACCATGGCTGGGCAGGTTTTTTGGGGACTAGATTCTTCGGGCTCATCCTACAGATATTCACACAAGTGCATACAACACTCATGGCTCCAGATACACACACCCTAAACTCACTTACTTCTCTGGCTAATAAATGTGCTCTTGCTCTGCAGAGTTTTTTTTTTCTACAAAAACCATAATGTGTCACATTTTGTGGACATAATTTTTTTCGTCTTCTATCCTCTTTTCATTTTTTTAAGGGTAGCACCTCCTCATAATGATCTTTCATGATGATGATCCTTGCTCTGCGCAGGGGTCTATGGTTGCAAGACCTGGGGGCACCTGTTCTATGTTTGGTTATGTTCTGTCTTCTTGTGGATGGGTGTTCTGAACTGTAATTCCATTGTGCTTTGTACAATGACAATAAAGGTTTATCTTATTGAACTTTTCTTTAAAACTTCACTTTAAGATTATTTACCTCCATTTTAATTCTTTCACCCAAAAAAGACATATTGTACTTGTTCTGAACATTCTTTACGATGTGCTTCTATAAATAAAAAAAAAACACGTCCACCCCCTCATGCATTTACATGTGAAACGTTTTGCAGGAAAATAAAAGAGTTTGCTCTCACCAGCCTCTTTGCCATGGGGGTCTTATCCTCACTGGGGAGGTGCTGCTCCAGGGCCAGGACAACGCAGTTAGCAGTGATGGTGGCCAGGATCATGTACTCAAATGGTGTAAAGGTCATAAAGTCAAGGAAAGCTCTTTAATCACATCAGAGGGACACAAAAACAGACGTAGAAAACAAAGAAAAYCACAAAATCTGGAAAACAGAGTAAATTTCACAATAGGTGCTATAAAGGAAGGCAAGTCTGATGGATGTATAACTGACAGGCAAATTATGACATGGTTCATATTTTCTGGTCCTGAAAGCAATCCGTTGGAGAGATTGCCGTATCCATGGCAACATGCTTTTAAAAGCGCTTTTCATGAAGAGAAAGCGAGCAGGTTAGGGAGGGTACGAGTGTGAAGTCACCTTGGCCCGACGGCGTGAGCGCACAGGTTTACAGCACAACATCTCTTCAGGTTCTTTTCACTTGCGAACCAGCTGACAAAAACGACAGACGAAACACAGATTTGCACCGCAGTGTGTCTGCAGAGAGTCCGTATTTGATACTAAAGAAGACTTGTTTTTAATTAAGTCTGCTGAATGAAAGGTTTCACTTGGTCRAATAAAAAGAGAAGATGCAGATTAACAGTTTGTGCATACAGGACAAAAAGCAGCTATKAAAGTGTATGAGTGCTGACTAAATGATTTAAACAAGCTTTTCTTATACTAGCTGTTGTCTTTAGTTTTACGCCACTGGAAGTGAATATACTCATTACTAAAATACATCTTTCTGTTTTTATTAGAAWCCTAAAGGATTATTATTACATAAAACTCAAGTTTGATCCAGATCCAGAATATTATGAGAATGTTATGCTGCACTTCAGTGGTTAGGTAAAGCCGTTTCAAACCAACCTGTTATAGTTGATCATTTCTGAGTTGAACTTGTTGAGGTTTTATTGTTTCTGCTGGGTTTTGTAATCTTAAGTCACAACTTATCTTGATTTCTTTCAAAGTTTTATCAAAAGGAAGCAACAATTCATAGTTTTTGTCATTGATTAGGATTATCTTGTTTGGGGGATTCCTTTTTTAGATTCTGGAGTTGTACTTATTAAAAGGGGCAATATCATGTAAAATCAACTTTTTTAGCTTTATATCATGTTATAATGTTATCCTCTCATCAAAAATATGCCCAGAGTCTTGCTTTGACTCATTCATGCATGTTTGAGAAATCCTGTAGTGTCCTGAGGCAGCCAAGCAGGGGAGCAAAGACGACCGGTTGGGACTAGAACCGCCTTTTGGACTGTGTCAAGCTGAGCTTCCTCATCACAGAGCACACCTCCCCACCCCCCACGACCCGCCCCCCTGTTTCCAGGCAGATGAACTGAGCAGCTCGGACTCAGCCCGACACAAGTCCAAACTTTTTTCCGGGTAGATGAACCGAGCCGCTCGGACCTGACAGCAGCCGGTGAGTTGGCGAAGCAACATGTATGAGTCTGAAGCATTCCGGTCACACATTTTTTTTGTTTGTTTGTTTCTTTATCAGTGCGTTTGCTAGTTTGTGGACAGTACTACGAATTCGACCTGAGGACATTTGGGATTTGGGTTAATTTAGACTTCAGATTCATGGGACCTGATTCAACTCGTATCGAATCGTTAACTCGAGTAGCTCAGCAACTGACCAGCTCTACCTGCCACTCCGGCAGCAACAACTAGCAAACACCTGGTGAAAACCATTTCTGCTGAGCTCCCAATACTACTTCTCAGTGCAGCCAAGGAAACTACACTGAGCTTCCGCACCCCGCCCCCCACCCCCCCACAACAAAGCATGCTACGACGCTCCAGGTTGTAAACAGCAGAGAAGCAGCTGTGATGACGTGCTGAAATGGGCGTGACGGATCCGCAGGAGGTAATAACAACTAAAGGTGACGTAGTTACTTTATYATGGTGTAGAATTCAATATATGCCTGGGAAACACATAAGATTGCCCCTTTACATTCTATTGATTTTTGTATTTATTTTTTGATACAATTAGGCCTGCATAAAATCTGGCACCATAAGCCTCAATACCGGCATAGTTACTTCCRGTATTTAAAGTCGAGGTTAAACTCTAGTCCTTTGCTCCTTTACATTTGCTTTCTTGGTGCCTTTTCTACACAAACATATGTATAGATTAGTTTTATTAGGATTTTACGTGATAGCCTAATGTCTTCAACGTGAAACGTTGCCAGATGTCAGACAGACTGCAGAGTTGAAAAATAGGTTTGTATCATCACTGTTCAGACCAATGAGGCGTACTGAATAGAGGCGCTATTATGTGACTTGTAGGAGAGAGCGGCCATATTGTTCAGGGCAAGGACAGGCTGGTGAAGCTGAATTCTTTTCATTTAATAGAAATGCTTGTCAGTACATATTATGGAGGTAAAAACATGTAAAGGTCCACACAAATGAATRATGTTTCTAACAGGCAGAAGCTAACCAATGAAAAACTAATATTTATGTGCAATCCTACACAGAAATCTAGCCCTGATAAAGTGTTTACATTGTCAGCCTGCCCCGTCCAATACGATGTTGCACTCGTACCACAGTGGTCAATCTCCTCAAGCATGCATGACACTTCTAGTCAATATATCTCATTGATTTAGGCTAAGTGTATTTCAAAGGACAGGAAGCAGGCATAAATATATGTAGCTCACAATGGATTGCAAATACTGACTTTAAGCACATCAATTAGTAACTGTTACTTTCTGTTTTATTTTGAAAGTCTGCTCTTTGTTCTGCTTCCTGGCATCTGATTTTGATCATTATCAGCACATTGGTTCTATGTTTTATGATTATCTCCTCACATATAAGTCTCGCAGTTTCAGTCTTTTTTTTGTCAGATCCATGTTTCCTCTTTGCTTCGTGCTCATCCTCATTTATTTCAGTTTGTCAGTTTGATCTATTTGGTTTCTACAATAGGGATGGAAAATTACAGCTCTTAATGGGATCCACATCATTAAGATCAGCTCACAAAGTACCTTTAACTTTTTTTTAACATAGAGCAAACCTAGAGTTTCATAACAGCACAGCTGTAATACTCTAAGTTTTACAAAGTATTAAAAAAACTTTTTGGCAAGTAAACTCTTCAATGATTGTCGCCTCATTGTGTCTATTGAGGCGTAATGAGCTCCTCTTCCAATATTTAACTTCAACAAGTTGTCTTGAAAACTTGATCTTTGCGATTTTTATGTTTCAGGGTTTTTTTTTTTTTTACATTTCACTGGGTTTAAACATTTACCACACATATAAAACGGTTTTCTCAGTGTGAGACAATATCAGTCCTAATATTTGTGACATTCAGTCCAACTCAGCTCCCGTGMGGAATGTGCTCCTCGTTATTAATTTGCCTGACTTGAATGAAACGGGGTCACTGACTCACAGAGGAGCGCAGGAACGGGGCCCTCTGGGACACAAAATGACTCACTTTGACCACAACGTTGCCACTGAAAGTGGTTGAAAATAGATAAAGTGGGAAATACTTCAGAAATCTCACCCACACTGTTGATAACACTCACCTGTTAGCATGTCTATTTGTATAAGTTTGAGCCCGTTTACACAGGAAACAGCTACCGAGGCACAGAGAAAACTGTGCTGATGAATGTACCGAGCTCATGTTTGTTCACTTATTTCATTTTGAAATTTCCCTTRTTAAAGTCTTTTAAAAATACTTTTCCAACGCATCATCATACATGTCACATTTTGTCCACATCCGATCAGTTTCTGATCAACTCAGGTTTAATCTCTTAAAAAATGTTGTTTTTTTTCTCTCATTGATTGAACTACAGCAGAGAAAAATGCACTGACTGGGTAACAACTAGATCACTGCAGGAATGCCACTTATTTCCAGCCTTCATTGATCTGCCTTGTATAAGGTACAATGTTAACGCAGTAAGAGTGGAAAAGTCCTCAGTCAATATAAAGTCCAACATCTCAAGCAGCTTGTTTCATGCAACAAAAACCCCAAATATAATCACTGACCAAAAACTGTAAATTTAAGAAGTTTGTCAAAGTTTCAAGATGTTTTCCTTCACAGAATTTAAGTTATAAAGCATTGTTTTCAGAGTCCTTGTGTTAAAATAATTTGTTGGATGAAATCTAAGGAAATTGGAACGATGCAGCTACTGTTATGTGATGAAAGTCGGTCTCACTTTGATCATTAATGTGCTTTCAAATGAATACTCAAGAACTTCTGGTGCTCTGTAATTAAGTGTGCAACAACCAGAGCTAGTAGTTTGTTAAAAAAATTGCAAGAATTTGTTTTTGCACCTACAGCCTCAGAATTTGGACACCACGAGTCTCGCTGCAGTCAACACTCTGACACGTGCCGTTTTTCACAGCCCTGATCCACCGCATTGCGATCCGGGCCAGAATCTCTTCCCACATGCCTCAGCCTCTGTGATGCCCACAGTCACATCGCCGCACCGCCAGTGGCCAGCTAGTGTTGACCACTAGTCCCACTCCCACACACTTGCAGAGAGCATGTGGTTAGGTAACAGTGGGAGACTGGCACGGTGCATTTGAGGGGGTGTAAAGGCAGATCGAGAAGCAGGGAGACGTGGCAGAGCTGACGATGCTATCCAAAACATTTCAACAAACACAAAGCAGAGCAAGGATATAAAAGATAAACAGATCAGCATCCTATGTCTAACCGTATAGCTACAAAGCTGTGGACGTTGATGTCACCGGACAAATTAGCTTTGAGGATAAGTTTGGTTAAGTTCTGGAGAGAGACACCAGAGCAAAAACGCTGCCTGGTGAATTTGAACCGACACCTACTCACGGCCGGGTTCATATTCCAATGAGCACTAAGGCAGCAGAGATGTGCCTACATGCCACCCCCACAGTGAGCAGAACTGTTTCTAATGATCACCACATGCTCTCTCTGCCTCCCTCTGCCAGAAACAAGGACGAATCAATAAGYTCCAAGATGCACACTAAAAGCTGCTGGGTTAAAGCCCACCCAATTTGTTACCCAAGTGCTGGGTCAAATTTGGACCGAGCCAATTTAAACTCAGTTGTCGTTTCAACACAGCATGCTGAGTTTCATTTTCTCCCCGAAAACAAGCAACAATTTGCCTTGTTAGATGATAACAACTAGAGTTGGTGACATTAGCATCAATTAATCTGTGCCAACTAATGCCTCTTTAACTAGCTGTTAACAGTGTGGTTTTTACTGCCTTATTTTAACCTTAGTCAAGTCTGATTAAAAGAGGGTCCAACTTTATGACCCAATATTTGGTCAAACCAAACCACCTTACAACCTGACGGTGATTGAGTTATTAAAGGAGACATATCATGCTTTAAATCCTTCTTTGTCCCATTTAAATCATTCAGTTGGGGTCTTTATAAAGTGGAACTGCAATTGTAACTCCACACACCCCTCTTTCAACTCATTTTGATGCTGTCTCTTTAAATACAAAAGAGGGGTTTTCACACACACACACACACACACACACCCCTTCCAGCTTCCAGAGCCTCAATTCTAGTTTGATAGAGGGGTTTACGACTATAAAGCAACACAGAAATGTTTTATTTATAAATTAAAAGACGGCAACAAGGGAAGACTTGTCCATCCAGACTTAAATGTTGGTGTTAGAGTAAGAGGAAGATGGCCAAACCTTATTTGGCAGCTCTGTCGCAAATAATTTGATGTACTAGTTAGAAAATGTCATAGAAATTGGAGAAAACTGAATGAGTTAATGTGACCCAAACAAAATATAAAGATATCTACTCAGCACGAGGAGAGACTAAATTTAAATTTCAGCACTCCTATAGGCTCTAAGTACACAATAAAATGCATTTAATGGTTAAAAAAGTAAATTTTGCATGATATGCCTCCTTTAAGTGAATGTCTGAGGAGGTGTGGAGTAAAGTTCATGAAATATAAAAAAATAATAACCTGGAGATGCAGGCAGGGCAAATAAAMTAATAAAAGGGGGAAAAACTAAAAGAGGGTGGCTCATGTCGCTGTCCATGGTGCTGAACTTATTCCTAAAGTTATATTTTTACCTTTAAACCGTTGCCGTAAAGGATATGGCCACTCAATGATTCGCCTGGCATATTTCCTAATGACGTTGTCCTCCGCAAAGATGAAGAGCGACCKGTTGACGGTGAGGCAGTTCTGCCGGTGTGGGACCGGGTTGTACAGAGCCATGGTCCGGGCCCGCTGGGCCTTGGCTTGCTTCAAAGCCATGTGCCCGGCCGAAGCCGCGTCTTGTCCGTCTCCACCGCGCTCCACGTCCCCGTCCCCGGAGTCCACCGTGGTGGGAGCGCACTCGTCTCCAAACCGAGCCATTCTATTCAAAGAGACAAGGAGAGGACTGACTTAGAACGGGTTTTACGATTTAAAAAAAAAAGGCAAACAACTCAAAAGACGTCCACCTTCAGTCCAATATGCTTATTGCGCGCTAAAAATCCTCCAAAAGTTGCAAAAATTATCTCACTTCATATCCACAGAAGGGGAAAAAAACTAGATCAATTCATTTGTATCAAGAAAATCTTCCATGCGCCTGATAATAAGTGGAGGCTGCAAACAAAACTGTTTAAAAGGCGCGTCGCGAGCAGCACTGGAGAACTTTTAATGTGCGCGCCTCTTTAAACTCGGACAGTTCAGCGAGGGGGCAAAGAAAAAAAAAGAAAAAACATCCACAGTTTGCTTTTTTGTAGTTCTCTACCAACATCCAAGCCCGCTGAGATCTGACAAACAGTGCTGATCAGAAGCCAGCGTGCGCTCATCAGATAGAGAGCTCCGAGGGACACCTTCCAAAACTTTACGCATCTTCTCTGGTAAACTTATCAAACRCGCCGCAGCGTGACAAACAGTTCAGAGCATCTACTCTTAGCATCTTCATTTAAAGAAAGAAAGGGGAAAAAAGCTTTTAAAAAGGACAGAAAAGAGGTTTTTTCACCTGCAGGAAAATCATCAGCCAAGAGCCGAGCGCACCGTCAAAGTCCCCTCCCACAGCGCTACTCCGTGGACATTTCAAAATTCATCTGAATGAAAGCTGCTAAAGAGGAGGGACGTGCATTTTGTTACCATGGCAATTAGAGTTTGTTGAGGATGAGCAAAAAAAAAAAAGGGAAAAACAAAACACATCCCCGAGAAAATATGATTATATACAGCAGGCTGTGTGGGTATGCACTTCAAAAAAGAAGAGAGAAAAAACACAATTATGTAAAGATGCTTGTGGGTGCTGTGGGAAAAAGGAAAAAAAATGTGTGAAATCCAAATAAAACTCAAATACTAGACAAAGCACATGTAACAAAACAGTGTGTGTGTGTGTGGGGGGGGGAGTCAGGAGAGATCCATCATTTCAACATTTTTGACACTTTTTTTATTAACAGAAACAGACTCGAGCTATTAAAACCTCCCCAAAACTGGGTCGTGGTGCTAATATTGGAATAAAAGTCAGGGGGTAAAAATAGAACATGAAATAGATCTTATTGGGCTGCTCCCTTTTTTGGAGGCAAAGCAGAAGAAAGCGGGGGTCTCTTTCTCTCTCTCTCTCTCACACACACACTGGCTGCCACAAAAGTGAGACCTCATTAGGCAACTGGACGCTCTCACTCCATCTGCTGCCCACCCCTCATCCCCTCCTCTCCCCCCAATGTTTCCCTGAAGATGACCACTTCAGCCCCCACAGACATGAGATTACCCAACCGAGCGAGGGCTTGTTTCCAGAGYCCGAGGCTGCATGCTTGTTGCAATTAAAATCAATCAATCCCCCCACCCCCATCCCCTTTGAAACCCCATCATAATAGTACATGATGATTGACAGGTATGTTTCAGAGCGTGCAGACAGGTAACCAGGGAGGAGGGACTGTGAAAACGAGGCGACAGAGAGAGAAAGTGACAAAATCACGCCTGGSAAACAAGTCCAGATCAAGGGGAGATGTAAAAAAAATGAAGATTTAACAAGAGCTATGAATAAGTTTCTATAAGCTCCAAAGATCCTTGTTGCCTCCATAATCTGCATGAAGCAGGAAGGCGTGTTGCTTCATGCAGAGCAGCAAAAAAAAAGCTTCAAATGATCAAAAGCAGGATGTTAAATATGATAAATATAAAGGACGCAATCAGCTTTCAAACAAATACTAATTACACATAAAAAAATTCCTTGTGTGTCACCCAACAAAAATATTTGTCTATCTTTGCAAACAGTACATCTCTCTCTCTCTCTCTCTCTCTCTCTCTCTCTCTCTC